ACGGAGCCGGGCGCCCGCGGGGTCAACGTGTACCTGCCTGGGGAGGGAGAGGTGAGTGAGCGCTTTTGGGGTGAATTTTAGGGTTTTCCTGGGGTGCAGGACCCCCCTGAACCCTAAATTTCACCCCTAGGTCTGGTACAATGACGAGACCCACGAGCAGCACCGGGCGCCCCAGACCCTCTATGTGCCAGTCACCCTCAGCACTGTGGGTTTTTTGGGGGGGCTCAAGGGGTTTGGGGGGGATGCTGGGACCCCAAAATCCCCATGAGACCCTAAAACTGCCCTTGGAACCCCCAAAATTCCCCCTGGACACCCCAAAATCCTCCCCTGATCTCCCTCTTCCCGCATGGGGAGTGTGGTGCCCATCACCCTCAGCACCCTGAGTTGTTTTGGGGGAGCTCAAGGGGTGTGTGGAGGGGTTTGGGACTCCAAAAACTCCCTGGAGACCCCAGAACTTCCATGGTGACCCCAAAATCCCCTTGGAGACGCCAAAAACCTCCTGGATTCCCCTAGATCCCTGTGTTCCAATGCGGGGGGTGTGATAGTGGTCAGAATCATCTCACGCTCTGGGGGTGACCTAGGGGATTTGGGGTTTTTTTGGGCAGGATTTGGGGGGATTTGGGGTTTTTTAATGGGGTTTTTGGGGGAATTTGGGGTTTTTTAATGGTGTTTTTGGGGTGCTGACCCCCCCATGCCCCCCCAGATCCCAGTGTTCCAGCGAGGGGGAACGGTGATCCCACGCCAGGACCGGCCTCGCCGCTCCACAGAGGCCATGAAGGGCGACCCCTTCACCCTCTACGTGGCCCTGAGCCCCCAGGTGAGTTTAGGGACCCCAAAAACCCCCACCAGGAACACCAAAACCTCCCCAGACCTCTCCCAGGTGAGTACAGGCACCCCAAAACCTCCACCAGGAACCCCAAAACCTTCCCAGACTCCTCCCAGGTGAGTGCAGGGACCCTAGATTCCCCTCAGGGTCCCCAAAACCCCCCCAGACACTTCCCAGGTGAGGGTGGGAACCCCAAAACCCCTACCAGGAACCCTGAAACCCCCCAGATCCCTCCTAGCTGAATGCAGGGACCCTGAATCTCCCTTCAGGGACCCCAAAAACTCTCCCTGGGACCCCCAAAAACCCTCTGAGACACCTCCAGACTCCTCATTTGCCCTCCAAACCGCTCTTGGGACCCCTCCCCAAACCTCTTTTATCCCCCAGGGCACGGCACAGGGGGATCTGTACGTGGATGATGGGATCAGCTTCGACTACGCCACCAAAAATGCATTCCTGCACAGGCACTTCCACTTTGCCAATGGCACCCTCACTTCCAGGTACCCAAAATATCCCAAAACCAGCCCAAAATATCCTAAAGTATTCCAAAAACCCCGCCTGAAACAGCCCCAGGGTAACCTGACTGCCAGCTACCCAAAAATCCCCTAAAATAGCCTGAAAACTGCCCTAAAAAAACCTCCCAGGCAGGTACACAAAGCATCCCAAAAACAAAGGGGAAAAAGGGCAGGAAACGTGAGGGGAAAAAAAGGGCGGGAAACTTGAGGGGAAAAATGGAAACGTGAGAGGAGAAAAAGGGCGGGAAACATGAGGGAGAAAAAAAACGGGAAAACGTGAGGGGACAAAAACGGCAGGAAAGCATGAGGGTAAAAAAGGGCGGGAAAACATGAGGGGAAAAAAGGGCGGGAAAAGGTGAGGGGAAAAAAGGGCGGGAAAAGGTGAGGGGAGAAAAAGGGCGGGAAAACGTGAGGGGAAAAATGGGCGGGAAACGTGAGGGGAAAAAAAGGGCGGGAAACGTGAAGGGAGAAAAAGGGCTGGAAAACGTGAGGGGAGAAAAAGGGCGGGAAAACATGAGGGGAGAAAAGGGCGGGAAATGTGAATGTAGAAAAAGGGCGGGAAAACGTGAGGGGACAAAAAGGGCGGGAAACGTGAGGGAAGAAAAAGGGCAGGAAAACATGAGGGGAAAAAAGGGCGGGAAAACATGAGGGGACAAAAAGAGCAGGAAAACGTGAGGGGAGAAAAAGGGCGGGAAAACGTGAGGGGAGAAAAAGGGCGGGAAAACATGAGGAGAAAAAAGGGCGGGAAAACGTGAGGGGAAAAAAGGGCGGGAAAACGTGAGGGGAAAAAAGGGCGGGAAAAGGTGAGGGGAGAAAAAGGGCGGGAAAACGTGAGGGGAAAAATGGGCGGGAAAACGTGAGGGGAAAAAAAGGGCGGGAAACGTGAGGGAAGAAAAAGGGCGGGAAAACGTGAGGGGAAAAAAGGGCGAGAAACATGAGGGGAGGAAAAGGGCGGGAAACGTGAGGGGAGAAAAAGGGCGGGAAAACGTGAGGGAAGAAAAAGGGCGGGAAAACGTGAGGGGGAAAAAAGGGCGAGAAACATGAGGGGAGGAAAAGGGCGGGAAAACGTGAGGGGAGAAAAAGGGCGGGAAAACGTGAGGGAAGAAAAAGGGCGGGAAAACGTGAGGGGGAAAAAAGGGCGAGAAACATGAGGGGAGGAAAAGGGCGGGAAAACGTGAGGGGAGAAAAAGGGCGGGAAAACGTGAGGGAAGAAAAAGGGCGGGAAAACGTGAGGGGAAAAAAGGGCAGGAAAACATTAGGGGACAAAAAGAGTGGGAAAACGTGATGGGAGAAAAAGGGCGGGAAAATGGGACAAAAAGAGCGGGAAAATGGGACAAAAAGAGCAGGAAAACGTGAGGGGAGAAAAAGGGCGGGAAAACGTGAGGGGGAAAAAAAGAGCGGGAAACGTGAGGGGAGAAAAAGAGCAGGAAATGTGACGGGACAAAAAAAGGCGGGAAACATGAGGGGAGAAAAAGGGCGGGAAATGTGAGGGGAGAAAAAGGGTGGGAAACAGGAGGGAAAAAAGCAGCCCAAAAATTCCCCCAAATACTGAAAAATACCCCTCAAATCCACCCCAAAACAACTCCTAGGAACCTTCATGGTCATGTACCCAAAATACTCCAAAAATGGTCCTAAAATATCCCCAAAACAGCCCAAAAATACCCCCAAAACAGCTCCAGGCACCCTCACAGCCAGGTACACAAAAATAACCTAAAGATACCCCTGAACTGACCCCAAACACCTCCCAGGAACCTTTATGGTCACGTACCCAAAACAGTCCCAAACTATCCCAAAAATACCCCCAGGACGTCCCCAAACCCCCGTTTCTTGTGGCCCTGTCTGTGATGGGGGTGAGGGATCAGGGGAGATTTTTGGGGGGCTGTGACCCCCCGGTGACCCCTCTGTTTCCCCCAGCTCTGCTGACCCCCGCGGGTCCATGTCCAGCCCAGCCTGGCTGGAGCGAGTGGTCATCCTGGGAGTCGGGCGGCCGGAGAGTGCCCTGCTGACCACACATGGTGAGAGGGGTTTGGGGGGTTTTGGGGTTTTAGGGTGGGTTTTTGGGATTTTAGGGTGGGTTTTGAGGGGGGTTTTGGGGTTTTAGGGTGGGTTTTAGGGTGGATTTTGGGGGGTTTTGGAGGGGTCATCCTGGGGGTGGGGTGGCTGGAGAGCACCTGGCTCAGGATGGACAACGAGGGGTTTTGGGGAGGGGGGTGGATTTTGGGAGATCCTGAGGAGACTTTGGGGTTTCTGAGGGGTTTTTGGGGTCCTTGAGGGAGGATTTGGGATCCCTGAGAAAAATTTTGTTGTCCTTGAGGGAATTTTAGGGTGTCTGAGGGGAATTTGGGGTCCTTGAGGAGGATCCTGAGGAGATTTTGGGGTTTCTGAGGGGTTTTTGGGGTCCTTGAGGGAGGATTTGGGATCCCTGAGAAAAATTTTGTTGTCCTTGAGGGAATTTTAGGGTTTCCATGGGGAATTTGGGGTCCCAGAGGGGAATTCAAGGTCCTTCACGAAGAATTTGGGGTTTCTGAGGAGCATTTTGTGTTCTTGATGAGTTCTTGGGGTCCATGAGCTGGAGTTTTAGGATTCCTCAGAGTTTTTTACGTTCTTGATGAATTTTTGGGGTCCCTGACCCCGAATTTGGGATCCCTGACCCCGAATTCCATGTCTCCATCCGCAGACGGTTCCCAGAGCTCGCTGCATTTCCAGCACGACCCCGAGCGCTCGGTGCTGACCCTGCGGCGCCCGGGGGTCCCCATCGGGGCCGACTGGAGCATCTCCCTGCGATAATGGATGGGGGGGGGCCCCCGGACCACCCCCCCAAATTCCCTGAACCCCCGGGCCCCCCCAGAGCCCCCTGAAAACCTCAAGTCCCCCCCCCCAAAAAAAAAACCCGGTGGTTGCCGCTGTTTGAGGAGCCCAGAATTGGGGGTGGGGGGGTTTGAGTCCCCCAGGATGAGGGGTGAGCCCTCCCCAAAATGAGGATTGAGCCCCCCCAAATTAGGGGTTGAGACCCCCCCCCAAAATGAGGGGTCAGTACCCCCCAAAATGAGGATTGAGCCCCCCCAAATGAGGGGTCAGACCCTGCCCAAATGAGGGGTGAGACCACCCCCAAATCACAGGTTGAGCCCCTCCCCCCCCATTTTACCCCAAATTTGGGGTCTCTGAGCCCCCAAATTTAAGGTTGGGGTGTGACTTTGCTTCCCCCCCCCCAAATTACAGGGGTTAGGAGGGGTCTGAAACCCCCTAAGTTGGGGTTCCCCCCCAAAATTTGGGTGGGGGTCGTGTCGAGGAGGGGTTGGGGACCAAAGCTCTGTGTGTGCCCCCCCCACGCCCCCTCCCCTTTTTGCCTGCCCCTCCCCCAGCCCGGGAGGGTCTCGGGGGGGTTTGGGGACCCCTCCCCCCTCTTGGGGGGGGGGGGCAGAGCCGAGTCCCCCCCCGCTGCACACACAGGGGGGTTGGGGGGGGGGGAAGAGGCGCGGCGGCGCGCGGAGTTTTGATAAAACACGAAATAAAACCAAATAAAAAACGGGAATTTTGGGAATCCCGAACGGCGCTGGGGGGGGTCGGGGGGAGGCCGGAATCTTTCTTGCGACCCCCCCACCGGAACTTTTTCATCCGCTTGAGGCGGGGGGGAAGCATTGTGAGGGGGGACCGGAAGCGGCCGTCAGACCGGAAGTGCTGCGCTAGCGGAGCCTCCGCGCCCCCGAAAGCGGCACCGGCCCCGCCCCCCCCCCACACCGGGACCCCCCCCTCACACCGGGACCCCTCTCGACCCCTCCTCAGGGACCCCCGGCAGGGCCAGAAAACCCCCGGATACCCCCCGGGGCTGAGCCGGCAGCAGCGCCACGTCCGCACTGGAAGTGAACGGGAACTGGGAATGAACTGGGGGGGACTGGGACTGGCTGGGGGCAACTGGGAGCACTGGGAAGAGTCCCTGTAGACCCCTGGGGGGGAGGATGTGAAAGCGGGACCCCCTGAACGCCCCCAGAACCCCCCGGGACTCCCCCGCGATGCGGCTGCGGCTCAGGAACGTTTTCCTCGTTTATTTCGTCGTGTCGCTCGTGGGGCTCTTCTGCGCCCTGCGGGAGCTCGGTGAGGGCCGGGGGGGTCTGGGGACGATTTTGGGGGGATTTGAGGGGGGTCTGAGGGGATTTAGGGTGGATTTTGGGGGTCCTTGGGTGGCTTTTGGGGGCCCCAGGGTGGGTTTGGGGGGGTCCCTGAGGCCCCTGGGTAGATTTGGGGTGGGTTTGGGGGTCCCTGGTTTAATTTGGGGTGGGCTTGGGGGTCCCTGTTTTTATTTGGGGTGGATTTGGGGGTCCCTGGGTGGATTTGGGGAGGATTTTGGGGTCCCTGGGTGGATTTGGGGAGGATTTTGGGGTCTCTGGGTGGATTTGGGGGTCTCTGGGTGGATTTGGGGAGGATTTTGGGGGTCCCTGACGCCCCCTCTCCCCCAGGCCGGCCCTGTCCCTGCCCCCCCCCCGAGCCCGAGCGGCGCCGGGGCCGCTCCGGGGGGGTCTCAGGGGGGGAGGGGCTGCCCCCGATCTACGTGGTGACCCCGACCTACGCCAGGTGAGCCCCCAGACCCATTTCACACCCCCAGTGGCCCTGAGCCCCCTGCCCCCCACCCCCGGGACCCCCAGACCCATTTTAACCCCTCTATTGCCCCCCTCAGACCCATTTTAACTTCCCCATTGCCACCCAGGCTGCCCCCAGACCCATTTTAGCCCCCCCGAGCCACTCCCAGACCCATTTTAACCCCCCCATCGCCCCCAGACCGCTGCAGAAGGCAGAACTGCCACAACCCCCAGCCTCATTTACCCCACTTAACCCAACCTGAGCCCCCTCCCCCGAACCCCCCCGACCCCCCGGGACCCCTGGGCCACCCTCAGCCCCACTCGAACCCTCCCGTGCCCCCCCAGGCCGGTGCAGAAGGCGGAGCTGGTGCGCCTGTCCCAGACCCTGCTCCACGTCCCCGCCCTGCACTGGGTGGTGGTGGAGGACGCCGCCTCCCCCTCGGCGCTGGTGGGGGGGGTCCTGGCGGCCTCGGGGGTCTCCTTCACCCACCTGAGCGCCGAGACCCCCCCTGAGCTGCGGGGGGGCCCCGGGGCCCCGTCCTGGCTGTTCCCGCGCGGGGCCGAGCAGCGGAACCGGGCCCTGCGCTGGCTGCGGGACACGCGCCGCCCCGACGAGCCCGGCGTCGTTTACTTCGCCGACGATGACAACACCTACAGCCTGCGGCTCTTCGAGGAGGTGCGAGAAATCCCCGGGAAAACCCCGAAAAAAATGCAAAAATCTACCAAAAAATCTGAAAATCCCCCAAAAAATCCCACCCGAGAAAGTCCAAACTCACCCAAAATGGTTCAATTCCCCTATAAACCCCTCTAAATCCTCTACAAACACCATTTCCCCCCATTTTTTTCCCATTTATTCCCATTTTTCCCCATTTTCCCCCATTTTTTGCCCCCCAGATGCGCAGCACCTGCAGCGTGTCCATCTGGCCCATGGGGCTGGTGGGAATCCCCTATAAATCCCCTATAAAACCCTATTTTTCCCCATTTTTCCCCCATTTCTGCCCCCAGATGCGCAGCACCCACGTCATGTCCGTCTGGCCCGTGGGGCTGGTGTGACATGCCCTATAAATCCCCTATAAAATCCCATTTATTCCCCATTTTTCCCCCATTTCTGCCCCCAGATGTGCAGCACCCGTGGCGTGTCCGTCTGGCCCGTGGGGCTGGTGGGAATCCCCTATAAATCCCCTATAAAACCTCATTTTTTCCCATTTTTCCATGTTTTTCCCCCATTTCTCCCCCCAGATGCGCAGCACCCACGGCATGTCTGTCTGGCCCGTGGGGCTGGTGGGAATCCCCTATAAATCCCCTATAAAACCCCATTTTTCCCCATTTTTGCCCCATTTCTGCCCCCAGATGCGCAGCACCCGTGGCGTGTCGGTCTGGCCCGTGGGGCTAGTGGGAATCCCCTATAAATCCCCTATAAAACCCCATTTTTCCCCATTTTTCCCCCATTTCTGCCCCCAGATGCGCAGCACCCGTGGCGTGTCTGTCTGGTCCGTGGGGCTGGTGTGACATGCCCTATAAATCCCCTATAAAACCCCATTTTTTCCCATTTTTCCCGTTTTTTCCCCCATTTCTGCCCCCAGATGCGCAGCACCCGTGGCGTGTCGGTCTGGCCCGTGGGGCTGGTGGGGGGCCTGCGGCTGGAGCGGCCGCTGGTGGCGGGGGGCCGCGTGGTCGGCTTCCACACGGGCTGGCGGCCGGAGCGGCCGTTCCCGCTGGACATGGCCGGCTTCGCCGTGGGGCTGCGCCTGCTGCTCGCCCACCCCCGCGCCCGCTTCGACCCCCGCGCCGAGAGGGGATTCCTGGAGAGCTCCTTCCTGGGGGGGCTGGTGACCCCCGGGCAGCTGGAGCCACGGGCCGACAACTGCACCCAGGTGGGGGTCTGGGGGGTTTTGGGGGGTTTTGGGGGGGGTTTGGGGGGTTTGGGGGGTTTTGGGGGCTGGTGACCCCCGGGCAGCTGGAGCCACGGGCCGACAACTGCACCCAGGTGGAGGTTTGGGGGATTTTGGGGAGTTTTGGGGGTGTTTTGGGGGTTTTGGGGGCTGGTGACCCCCGGGCAGCTGGAGCCACGGGCCGACAACTGCACCCAGGTGGGGGTTTGGGGGGTTTTGGGGGGTTTGGGGGGTTTTGGGGGGTTTTGGGGGGCTTTGGGGGCTGGTAACCCCCGGCAGCTGGAGCCACGGGCTGACAACGGCACCCAGGTGGGGTTTTGGGGGGTTTTGGGGGCTTTTGGGGGGGCTTTGGGGGGCTTTGGGGGCTGGTAAACCCCAGGCAGCTGGAGCCACGGGCTGACAACAGCACCCAGGTGGGGGTTTGGGGGGTTTTGGGGGGCTTTGGGGGGGCTTTGGGGGCTGGTGACCCCAGACCAGCTGGAGCCACGGGCCGACAACTGCACCCAGGTGGGGTTTTGGGGGGTTTTGGGGGGCTTTGGGGGGGCTTTGGGGGCTGGTGACCCCTGGGCAGCTGGAGCCACGGGCCGACAACTGCACCCAGGTGGGGGTTTGGGGGGTTTTGGGGGTCTTTGGGGGCCAGTGACCCCCGGGCAGCTGGAGCCACGGGCTGACAACTGCACCCAGGTGGGGGTCTGGGGGGTTTTGGGGGGCTTTGGGACATTTTGGGAGGCTTTGGGGGCTGGTAAACCCCAGGCAGCTGGAACCACGGGCCGACAACGGCACCCAGGTGGGGGTTTGGGGGGGTTTTGGGGGGCTTTGGGGGGTTTTGGGGGCTGGTGACCCCCGGGCAGCTGGAGCCACGGGCTGACAACTGCACCCAGGTGGGGGTTTGGGGGGGTTTTGGGGGGTTTTGGGGGGGTTTGGGGGCTTTTGGGGGGTTTTGGGGGCTGGTGACCCCCGGGCAGCTGGAACCATGGGCTGACAACTGCACCCAGGTGGGGGTTTTGGGGGGTTTTGGGCAGTTTGGGGGGCTTTGGGGGCTGGTGACCCCAGACCAGCTGGAGCCACGGGCCGACAACTGCACCCAGGTGGGGGTTTTGGGCAGTTTGGGGGTCTTTGGGGGCCAGTGACCCCCAGGCAGCTGGAGCCACAGGCTGATAACTGCACCCAGGTGGGGTTCTGGGGGGTTTTGGGGGGTTTTGGGGGGCTTTGGGGGCTGGTAACCCCCGGGCAGCTGGAGCCACGGGCCGACAACTGCACCCAGGTGGGGGTCTGGGGGGTTTTGGGCGGTTTTGGGGGGCTTTGGGGGCCAGTGACCCCAGACCAGCTGGAGCCACGGGCCGACAACTGTACCCAGGTGGGGGTTTGGGGAGAGTTTGGGGGATTTTGGGCGGTTTGGGGGTCTTTGGGGGCCAGTGAGCCCCGGCCAGCTGGAGCCACAGGCTGATAACTGCACCCAGGTCAGGGCTTGGGGGGTTTTGGGGGGTTTGGGGGATTTTGGGGGGTCTGGGGGCTCATGACCCCTGCCCAGCTGGAGGCAGAGGTGTGTAACTACACCCGGGGGAGGGTCTGGGGTGATTTAGGTCTGATTTTGGGGTGTTTTGGGGTGCAGGTGCTGGTGTGGCACACAGGATGATTTTGGGGTGATTTCAGGGTGATTTAGGGCCGATTTTGGGGTGGTTTTGGGGTGTTTTGGGGCGCAGGTGCTGGTGTGGCACACGCGCACCGAGAAGCCGAAGCTGCGCCAGGAGGAGCAGCTGCAGCGCCAGGGCCGGGGCTCTGACCCCGACATCGAGGTTTAGGGGGGCCCCAAACCCCCCCGGGACCCCCCAAAACCCCCCGGGGACCCCCCCGGGACCCCCCAGACCTTTATTTATCGCCAGGACCCCCCCGTTTTTTGGGGGACCCCCTCTGGTTCCCTTCTGTGCAATAAACGCTCCCTCCCAGCCTCAGCTGTACTTTTTGGGGGGGGGGGTCTCGATTTGGGGGGGGTCACCCCGAATTTTGGGGGACCCCAACACGGTGGGGGGAAGTGGGGGGGGTTGGATCTCGATTTGTCGGGGGGTCACCCTGAATTTTGGGGACCCAAAGACGGTGTGGGGGCAGTGGGGGGGTTGTGGTCGCCCCCTGATTTTAGGGGGCGGCGTTGCACTGAGGACCCCGGTGGGATTTTGAGGAGGGGTCCCACAAGAGTTTGGGGGGGCAGGAACCCCCCAAATGTTTGGGGGGGGGGGTCACACCTTCTCTCATTTCAGGGGGGGCCCCACACGGGGCCAATTTTGGGGTATCCCCATTGTACTGGGGGGCTCTGCAGCCCCCTCCCACCACCCTGATTTTGGGGGTCTCGCCCCCCCCCTCCATTTCGGGGTGTCCCGGGGCCCCCCCCCGGCCGCCCCCCCCAGCGGGGGAAGTGACTCTGCCGCACTTCCTGGGGCGGTGTCGGAGCGGCCGCGGGCCCGGCCATGGAGCCCCCCCCGGAGCGCGGTGAGACCCCCGGGGGGCGGGGGACCCCCGGGACCCCCCCCACCCGGGACCCCCCCCGGGACTCTCCCCCGGGACCCCCCCGGGCCGGGGCGGGGACGGCGGCGGAGCCGAGAACGGGACGGGGAAGTGGGGGGGGGACACGTGGGGACACGGGGGGGGGGCACCGGGGGGTCCCGGGGGGCGGGGGGTGCACGGGGGGGTCCCCCGAGTGCCGCGGGGGGGTCCCGGGGGGTTCGTGGGTGACCCGGGGGGGGTCCCGGGTGACACCTGCGGGGGTCCCAAGAGTTGGGGTGGGCTGGGGGGGGGCACGGGGGGGTCCCTGGTGTTGGGGGGGGCACGGGGGGGTCCCCGAATGTCACGGGGGGGGAGCGCCAGAACCGGCGCGGGAGACACGGGGGGGTCGCGGTCACACCTGAGGGGGTCCCCAAATGGGAGGGGGGCCGGGCGGGGGATGACCCCCCCCCCCGATGTCCCGGTGCCCCCCCCCCGGTGACCGGGACCCCCCCCCAGGTGAGGCGGGACCCCCCCCCGGCGAGGCCGAGGCCCCCCCGGGGCCGCTGGAGCTGCGGCTGCGGACGGTGGAGCGGGAGCTGGCGCTGGTCAAGGCGGCGCTGGGGGAGACCCTGCGCAGGTTGGGGGGCTGCGACCCCCCCGGGGGGCTCGGTGAGAGCGGGGACCCCCCCCAGGGGGTGGCGGGACCCCCAAAGGGAGCTGGGACCCCCCCAAAAGGGGGCTGGGGCCTCCACTGGGGGGCTCGGTGAGCGTGGGGATCCCCCCTGAGGGGGTGGCGGGACCCCCCGAATGGGGTTGGGACCCCCTGGATGGGGCTGGGACCCCCCCCAATGGGGCTGGGACCCCCTGGATGGGACTGGGACTCCCCCAAATGGGACTGGGACCCCCCGAATAGGGTTGGGACCCTCTCAAATGGGGCTGGGACCCCCTGGATGGGGCTGGGACCCTCCCAAATGGGGCTGGGACCCCCCGAATAGGGTTGGGACCCTCTCAAATGGGGCTGGGACCCCCTGGATGGGGCTGGGACTCCCCCAAATGGGACTGGGACCTCCCGAATGGGGTTGGGACCCTCTCAAATGGGGCTGGGACCCCCCCCCAAATGGGGTTGGGGTCTCCATCTGGGAGTCCCACACCCTTTTAGGGGTCCCCCAGGAAGGTGTCTCGGGGTTCCTGGGGGGATTTTTGGGGTCCTGACCTCCCCCTCTCCCCCCCCAGCCCCCAGCGGAGCCCCCCCGGAGCCCCCCCGGAGCATCAGCGTGGGGACGCAGACGGAGGAGCTCCCCCTGCGCCCCCCGAGCCCCCCCCAGGAGCCCCCCGGGACCGGCGGAGCCCCCCCGGAGCCGCCCCCGCCGGGGTCCCCCCCGTGCCCCCCCGCCCCGGGATCCCCGGAGCCCCCCCCGAGCCCCGAGACCCCCCCGGCGCCCCCCAGCCCGGCCCCGCGGGGACCCCGCAAAGAGCTGTGAGGAGCGGGGGCACCCCCAAATTGGGGAGGGGTCGGGGGACATGGGGAGGGGGCTGGGATGAGTGGGAGAGACCAGTGAGAGCCCCGGGAGGGCCGCGTGGATCCCCCAAAACCCCTCGGGACCCCCCTCAGGACCCTCCAAAACCCCTCGGGACCCCCCCAGAACCCCCAAATCCTCCAGGACCCCCCCAAAACCCCTCAGGACCCCCCAAAATCCTTCAGGACCCCCCAAAAACCCCTCGGTACCTCCCCACAGAACCCCCCCAGAACCCCCCAAATCCCTCGGGACTCCCCCAGGTCACCCCAAAATCTTTTGGGACCCCCCCCCCATGTCACCCCGACCCCCCCCAGGACCCCTCCGTGGGAAATTGGGGCATTATGGGGGAGGGGGCTGGGAGGGTTTGGGGTACACGGGTGGGATTTTGGGGGGGCTGGGGGAGGTTGGGGGTGTCACCCCTTCACTGACGGTGTCCCCCCCATTCCCTGTCCCCCCCGGACCCCCCAAAAATACCCCCAAACCCTCCTCCCGCTCCAAATCCCCCCCACCCCCAAATTTCCTCATCCCTGTCCCCAACCTCTCAAAACCCCTCCAAACCCCCCCCCAAACCCCCAAATCCCCCCAAACCACAAAACCCTCCCAAAACCCACCCCCCCCCCCCCCAAATCCCAAAATCCCCCCAAAATCCCCCCAAACCCCTGGACCCTCCCCCCTAAATTTCCCCTCATCCCCTCTTCTCCCCCCAAACCCTTTCATCCCCTGAACCCCAAATCCCCCCAAATCCCCTGAACCCCCAAACCCCTCTTGGACCCCCCCCCCCGGACCCCCAATCCCCTGTGCCCCCAAATCCCCCCGTGCCCCCCAGGCTGCGCCGCCACAGCTCCTCCTCGGGCCCCCCCAGCCCCCGGCAGCGCCTGAGCCGCAAAGCGGCGTCGTCAGCGAACCTGCTGCAGGGCAGCCCCGAGAGGTGGGACCCCGAAACATCCCCAAATACCCCTGAAATATCCCCAAAACATCCCCCAAAATATCCCCTAAATATCGCCAAAAGATCCCCCAAATGCCCCTCAAATATCCCCAAAACTTACCCCAAATACCCCTGAAATATGCCCCAAATACCTCCAAAATACCCCTGAAATATCCCCAGAATATTCCCAAAATACTGGCAAATTATCCCCCAAATATCCCCAAATTATCCCTGAAATAGCCCCAAAATATCCCCAAATATCCCTCAAATACCCCAAATTATCCCTGAAATATCTTCTAAACATCCCCCAAATACCCGCAAAATATCCCTGAAATATCACCCAAAATATTCCTCAAATATCCCAAAAATATCCCCAGAATACCCCTAAAATACCCCCCGAAATTCCCCCAAATTCCGAGTCCCCCTTTGCCTCCACCCCCTTTGAACCCCCAAATCCCCCCAGAACCCCCAAATTCGTCCAAAATCCCCCAAATCCCCCCAGAACCCCCAAATTTCCCCAAAATCCCCCAAATCCACCCCAATCTTTGCCTCCTCACTCGCAGCCGCCCGAAGGAGCCGACCCTGAGCCCAGGTGGGGAAATTTTGGGGGTTTGGGGGGGGGAATTTGGGGTTCAGGGAGTTCATTTTGGGGGTTCGGGGCCTTCCTTTGGAGGGGACGTTTTGGGGTTTCACTGAGGGGTTTTGGGGGTTCAGAGGGTTCATTTTGGGGTTTAATTTTCGAGGGTTTTTTGGGGGGGGGTCAGTGAATTATTTTGGGGGCACGGAGGGTTTCTTTTGGGTGGTTTATTTTGAGGATTTATTTGGGGGTTCAGTGGGTTCATTTTGGGGCTGTAACCCATTTTCCCTCTGTTTTTCCTCCTTTTTTTCCCCTCTTTCTTCCCATTTCCCCCCAATTTTCCCCTTTCCCCGCCATTTCCCCCCATTTCCCCCCATTCCCCCTCAATTTCCCCCCCATTCCCCCCAATTTTCCCCATTTCCCTCAATTTTTCCCAAATGCTCCCTATTTTCCCAATTTCCCCCCATTTTCCTCCCATTTCTTCCCAATTTCCCCCTTTCCTCCCATTTCTCCCCATTCCCCACCCTTTTCTCCCTTTCCCCCCCTTTTTATCCCCATTTCCTCATTTTCCCCTTTCCCCCCATTTTTCTGCATTTCCCCTATTTCCCCCTCAATTCCCCCCCCATTTCCCCCTATTTTCCCATTTTTTTCCCCTTTTCCCCCCACTTCCCCCCCAATTTTCCCATTTCCCCATTTCCCCCCCATTTCCCCATTTCCCCCATTTTTCCCCATTTCCTCCCCATTTTTCCCCCCATTTTTCCCCATTTCCCCCCCATTTTTCCCCTTTTTCCCCCTTTTCTCCCTTTTTCCCCCTTTGAATCCCCATTTCCCCCCCATTTTTCCCCATTTCCCCCCTATTTTTCCCCCCATTTTTCCCCATTTCCCCCCCATTTTTCCCCATTTCCCCCCATTTTTCCCCATTTCCCCCACATTTTTCCCCTTTTTCCCCTTTTCTCCCTTTTTCCCCCTTTGAATCCCCATTTCCCCCCCATTTTCCCCATTTCCTCCCCATTTCCCCCCCATTTTTCCCCATTTTTCCCCCCATTTTTCCCCATTTCCCCCCCATTTTTCCCCATTTCCCCCCTTTTAATCCCCATTTCCCCCCCATTTTTCCCCATTTCCCCCCCATTTTTCCCCTTTTTCCCCCTTTTCTCCCTTTTCCCCCCTTTTAATCCCCATTTTCCCCATTTTCCCCCCATTTTTCCCCATTTCCCCCCCATTTTTCCCCATTTCCCCCCCATTTTTCCCCATTTCCCCCCTTTGAATCCCCATTTTCCCCATTTTCCCCCCGTTTTTCCCCGTTTCCAGCCTCCCGCCGTGGCAATTACAACCTGGGTGAGGCCCGGGGGGTGCGGGGGGTGGCCGGGGGGTGCCGGGGGTTTTGGGGTGACCCCCGGGCCCCCCGCAGAGGGGGTGTCGGTGAAGATGTTCCTGCGGGGCCGCCCCATCACCATGTACGTGCCCTCGGGGCTGGGCCCCCTGCGCGCCGAGCTGCCCCCGGAGCGCCTGCAGCTCGACTGGGTGTATCCTGAACGCAAAAAACACCCCAAAAACCCCAAAATCCCAAAAAACTACCCCAGAAACTACCCCAAAACCCCCCAAAACCCCCAAAATCCCAAAAAACTACCCCAGAAACTGCCCCCAAAACCCCCAAAATCCCAAAAAACTACCCCAGAAACTGCCCCAAAAACCCCCAAAATCCCAAAAAACTACCCCAGAAACTGCCCCAAAAACCCCCAAAATCCCAAAAAACTACCCCAGAAACTGCCCCAAAAAATCCCAAAAACCCCCAAAATCCCAAAAAACTACCCCAGAAACTGCCCCAAAAAAACCCAAAATCCCAAAAAACTACCCCAGAAACTACCCCAAAAACTACCCCAGAAATCCCGGGGGATCCAGAACCTGGGTGTATCCTGACCACAAAACCCCCAAAACTACCCCAAAAACCCCCCAAAATCCCAAAAACCCAGGCGATCCAGGAACAGGGTGTATCCTGACCACAAAAACTACCCGAAAAAGCACAAAAATTACCTCAAAAATCTCAAAAACTGCCCCAAAATCTCAGAAATCCCTGGGGATCCAGGAGCTGGGTGTATCCTGACCCCAAAAATCCCTTAGGGGACCCCAAAACTCCCAGGAAAGGGCCCAAAATTCCCAGTCCCTCCCAGTGCTCCCAATTTCTCTCCCAGTTGGCTCCCAGTTTGGCTCCCAGCTCTCCCAGTTTACTCCCAGTGCTCCCAGTTTCTCTCCCGGTTTGCTCCCAGTGCTCCCAGTATCACTCCCAGTCCCTCCCAGTGCTCCCAGTATCATTCCCAGTCCCTCCCAGTGCTCCCAGTTTCTCTCCCAGTTTACTCCCAGTGCTCCCAGTTTGGCTCCCAGTTTACTCCCAGTGCTCCCAGTCCCTCCCAGTGCTCCCAGTATCACTCCCAGTCCCTCCCAGTGCTCCCAGTATCACTCCCAGTTTACTCCCAGTGCTCCCAGTCCCTCCCAGTGCTCCCAGTATCACTCCCAGTCCCTCCCAGTGCTCCCAGTATCACTCCCAGTCCCTCCCAGTGCTCCCAGTTTCTCTCCCAGTTTGCTCCCAGTGCTCCCAGTATCACTCCCAGTCCCTCCCAGTGCTCCCAGTTTCCTTGACGCCGCAGTTACGGGTACCGGGGCCGGGACTCGCGCTCCAACCTGCACGTGCTGGGCTCGGGGGAGCTCGTTTACTTCATCGCCTGCGTGGTGGTGCTGCTGCAGCTGCCAGCGCGGCGCCAGCGCCACTACCTGCGCCACAGCGACTGCGTCAGGTGGTGAGGGTCCTGAACATCCCCAAAATATCCCAAAATAACCCCAAAATATCCCTAATCCCAAAAAAACCCCAAAAAACCCCATTGGAAACACCCCCTGTACCGGCCTGTGCCCCTCAGGCTGCCACTACCTGCGCCACAGCGACTGCGTCAGGTGGTGAGGGTCCTGAACATCCCCAAAATATCCCAAAATAACCCCAAAATATCCCAAAATAACCCCAAAATATCCCTAATCCCAAAAAAAACCCCAAAAAACCCCGTTGGAAACACCCCCTGTAGCGCCCTGTGCCCCTCAAACCGCCACTACCTGCGCCACAGCGACTGCGTCAGGTGGTGAGCATCCTAAATAACCCCAAATAACCCCAAAATAACCCCAAAATATCCCTAATCCCAAAAAAAAACTCCAAAAAACCCCGTTAGAAACACCCCTTGTACCGCCCTGTGCCCCTCAAACTGCCACTACCTGCGCCACAGCGACTGCGTCAGGTGGTGAGGGATCCTAAATATCCCTAAATAACCCAAAATAACCCTAAAATATCCCTAATCCCAAAAAAAACCCTGTTGGAAACATCCCCTGTACCGCCCTGTGCCCCTCAAACCACCACTGCCTGCGCCACAGCGACTGCGTCAGGTGGTGAGGGTCCTGAACATCCCCAAAATATCCCAAAATAACCCCAAAATATCCCTAATCCCAAAAAAACCCCCAAAAAACCCTGTTGGAAACACCCCCTGTACCGCCCTGTGCCCCTCAAACTGCCACTGCCTGCGCCACAGTAACTGCGTCAGGTGGTGAGGGTCCTGAACATCCCCAAAATATCCCAAAATAACCCCAAAATATCCCAAAATAACCCCAAAATATCCCTAATCCCAAAAAAAACCCCCAAAAAACCCCGTTAGAAACACCCCCTGTACCTCCCTGTGCCCCTCAAACCACCTCTGCCTGCGCCACAGCGACTGCGTCAGGTGGTGAGGGATCCTAAATATCCCAAATAACCCAAAATAACCCCAAAATATCCCTAATCCCAAAAAACCCCCAAAAAAACCCGTTGGGAACACCCCCTGTAGCGCCCTGTGCCCCTCAAACCGCCACTATCTGCGCCACAGCGACTGTGTCAGGTGGTGAGGGTCCTAAATACCCCTAAATATCCCAAAATAACCCCAAAATATCCCTAATCCCTGAAAAAAAACCCATTAGAAACACCCCTATGCCCCTCAAACCACCACTGCCTGCGCCACAGCGACTGCGTCAGGTGGTGAGCATCCTAAATAACCCCAAATAACCCCAAAATATCCCTAAAATATCCCTAATCCCAAAAAAACCCCAAAAAACCCCGTTGGAAACACCCCCTGTACCGCCCTGTGCCCCTCAAACCGCCACTACCTGCGCCACAGCGACTGCGTCAGGTGGTGAGGGTCCTGAACATCCCCAAAATATCCCAAAATAACCCCAAAATATCCCTAATCCCAAAAAAAACCCCAAAAAACCCCGTTGGAAACACCCCCTGTACCGCCCTGTGCCCCTCAAACCGCCACTACCTGTGCCACAGCGACTGCGTCAGGTGGTGAGCATCCTAAATAACCCCAAATAACCCCAAAATAACCCCAAAATATCCCTAATCCCAAAAAAAACCCAAAAAACCCCGTTGGAAACACCCCCTGTACCGCCCTGTGCCCCTCAGACTGCCACTACCTGCGCCACAGCGACTGCGTCAGGTGGTGAGGGTCCTGAACATCCCCAAATAACCCCAAAATAACCCCAAAATATCCCTAATCCCAAAAAAAACCCCAAAAAACCCTGTTGGAAACATCCCCTGTACCGCCCTGTGCCCCTCAGACTGCCACTACCTGCGCCACAGTGACTGTGTCAGGTGGTGAGCATCCTAAATACCCCTAAATAACCCTAAATAACCCCAAAATATTCCTAATCCCAAAAAAAACCCCAAAAAACCCCGTTAGAAACACCCCCTGTACCGTCCTGTGCCCCTCAAACCGCCACTACCTGCGCCACAGCGACTGCGTCAGGTGGTGAGGGTCCTGAACATCCCCAAAATATCCCAAAATAGCCCCAAAATATTCCAAAATAACCCCAAAATATCCCTAATCCCAAAAAAACCCCAAAAAACCCCGTTGGAAACACCCCCTGTACCGCCCTGTGCCCCTCAAACTGCCACTATCTGCGCCACAGTGACTGTGTCAGGTGGTGAGGGATCCTAAATATCCCTAAATACCCCTAAATAACCCAAAATAACCCCAAAATATCCCTAATCCCAAAAAAACCCCCAAAAAACCCCGTTAGAAACACCCCCTGTACCGCCCTGTGCCCCTCAAACTGCCACTGCCTGCGCCACAGCGACTGCGTCAGGTGGTGAGCATCCTAAATAACCCCAAATAACCCCAAAATAACCCCAAAATATCCCTAATCCCAAAAAAAACCCCAAAAAACCCCGTTGGAAACACCCCCTGTACCGCCCTGTGCCCCTCAAACTGCCACTACCTGCGCCACAGCGACTGCGTCAGGTGGTGAGCATCCTAAATACCCCAAAATAACCCCAAAATATCCCTAATCCCAAAAAAACCCCAAAAAACCCCGTTAGAAACATCCCCTGTACCGCCCTGTGCCCCTCAGACTGCCACTACCTGCGCCACAGCGACTGCATCAGGTGGTGAGGGATCCTAAATATCCCAAATAACCCCATAACCCCAAATAACCCTAAAATCACCCAAAATAACCCCAAATTAACACAAATAACCCCAAATACCCCCAAAATTGCCCCCAAACCCCCCAAACCGGGGTCACCGTCCTGTCCCCCCAGCCTGGCCGTGCACCCCGACCGGCTCCGCGTGGCCACCGGGCAGGCGGCCGGAGTGGACAAGGACGGCAAGGTGGGACCTTGGGGACACCTGGAAACACCTGGGGACACTCTGGGGGCAGCCCTGGGGAAAGTCTGGGGACACCTTGGGACCTTGGGGACACACTGGGGGCAGCCCTGTGGGCAGTCCTGGGTACTCTGGGACACCGTGGGGACACCTTCAGGGCATCTGGGGACACCCTGGGGACATCCCTGGGACCTTGGGGACACTCCTGAGACACCTTGGGGACATTGGGGATACCTTGGGGACATCCTGGGGACATTGGGGATACCTTGGGGACATGGGGAACATCCTGGGGACACTCTGGGGACACCCCTGGGAACAGGGACGGGGCCCCAAACCCCCTCTCCCATGATGTGAAACCCCAAAATCCCCCCCCAAACCCCCTAAAACCCCCCAAAATCCCCCCCAAAAACCCTCCAAACCCTCCAATTCCCACTCAAAATCCCTCAAATTCCCCCAAATTCCCCCAAAATCCCCAAACCCCAAATCCCTGCCCGCAGCCCCTGCAGCCCATCGTGTACATCTGGGATTCGGCCACGCTCCAGACCCTGCAGCAGATCGGCCTCGGCTCCTTCGAGCGCGGCGTGGGCTCGCTGGCCTTCTCCACGGCTGTGAGTGCCCAAAACACCCTAAAAACACCCCAAACCCCCAAAATACCCCAAAAAACACCCCAAACCCCCAAGATACCCGCAAGAACCGCCAAAATACCTCCAAAAACACCCCCAAAATACCCCAAAAACCACCCCTAATACCCCAAACACTTCAAAACCACCCCAAATACCCCAAAAACCTGCCCCAAATATCCCCAAACAACCCAAAAACCGCCCCAAATATCCTAAACACCCCAAACCCCCAAAATACCCCCAAATCCCCCCCAAAACCACCAAAATACCACCAAAAACACCCCCAAAATACCCCAAAACCCACCCCAAATACCCCAAATACCCCAAAATACCCCCAAAAACCACCCCAAATACCTCAAACACCCCAAAAACTGCCCCAAAGCACCCGAAACATCCCAAAACCCACCCCAAATACCCCAAACACCCCAAAGCCCCCAAAATAACCCAAAAACCACCAAAATACCCCCAAAAACACCCCAAAAACTGAGCGGATTTGGGGTTTTTTTGGGGGTGCCTCCATCTCCTTGAGCCCTGTGGAGGCTGCTGAGGGGTTTTGGGGTTTTTTTGGGGGTTTTTTTGGGGTGCCCAGGACCAGGGCGCATTCCTGTGCGTGGTCGATGACTCCAACGAGCACATGATGTCGGTGTGGGACTGCGCCCGCGGCACCAAGCAGGCCGAGGTCAAGGTGGGGCCCCAAACTCATCCCAAATCCCACAATCACACCCCAAGTCCCCTAAACGCACCCCAAAAAAACCCAAATCCCACCTCAGACCCCTAAAATCCCCCAAATCCCATCCCAAAACCCCTAAAACCCCCCAAATTCCATCCCAAATCCACCCTAAATCCCACAATCACACCCCAAATCCCCTAAATCCGCCCCAAAAAACCCCAAATCCCACCTCAAACCCCTAAAATCCCCCAAACTCCTTCAAAAGCCCGAATCCCACCCCAAATCCCATTTCAATTCCTAAAAATTCCCCAAAATCCCTAAACCCAACCCCAAACCCACCCCAAATCCTGGAATCCCAGCCAAAACCCCAACCCCAAATCCCACCTCAGACCCCACCCCAAACCCCCCAAAACCCCAAGCCCCACCCCAAATCCCCCAATCCCATACAAAACCCCAAACCCCACCCCAAACCCACCCCAAATCCCACAATTACATACCAAATCCCCCAATCCCACCCAAAACCCCAAATCCCACTCCGAACCCTCCAAATACCCCAAAACCCCACCCTAAACACCCCAAATCCCACCCTAAATCCCCCAATCCCACCCAAAATCCCAAACCCCACCTCAAATCCCGCCCCAAAGCCCCCAAACCCACTCGAAATCTCTAAAACCCCACCCTAAATCCCCCAAATCTCACCCTAAACCCCCCCAAAGAGCCCCCCAAACCCCAAATCCCATCCCAAACCCCCCAAAAACCCCAAACCCACCCCGCAGAGCACCAACGAGTCGGTGCTGACGGTGGAGTTCAACCCCCGCGACAGCAGCAGCATCGTCAGCAGCGGCAAATCCCACGTCTTCTTCTGGAGCTGGAGCGGCGGCGCGCTCACCAAGAAACACGGCATCTTCGGGGTTAATGGGACTGGGCTTTGGGGTCGGGCTTGGGGTTGGGGTTTGGGGTTTGAGATTGGGGAATCTGGAGCTGGAGCGGCGGCGCGCTCACCAAGAAACACGGCATCTTCAGGGTTAACGGCGTTTGGGTTTGGGGCGGGTTTTTTTGGGGTGGCTTTGTGGGGATTTGGGGTTTTTTGGGGCAGTTTTGTGGGGATTTGAGGTTTTTGGGGTGGCTTTGTGGGGATTTGGGGTTTTCAGGGTGGGTTTGGGGTGGCTTTGTGAGGATTTGAGGTCTTCAGGGCGGTTTTGTGGGGATTTGGGGTTTTTGTGGCAGTTTTGTGGGGATTTGGGGTTTTTGGGGTGGCTTTGTGAGGATTTGAGGTCTTCGGGGCAGTTTTGTGGGGATTTGGGGCTTTTGGGGCAGCTCTGTGGGAGTTTTGGGTTTTTTTGCGGTGGCTCTGTGGGGATTTGGGGTTTTTGGGGCGGTTTTGGGGTCGCTGAGCCCCTTGCCCCCACTTTAGAAATACAAGAAGCCCAAGTTCATCCAGTGCTTCATCTTCGATGCCGCCGGGGCGCTGCTGACCGGGGACTCGGAGGGGAACATCCTCACCTGGACCCGCACCCCGGGGAAGGGGGGAAAAGGTGGGGCTGGGATTTGGGGGATTTGGGGGATTTGGGGGAGTTTGGGGTGGGGTTTGCAGACAGAACATCCTCACCTGGACCCGCACCCCGGGGAAGGGGGGCAAAGGTGGGGCTGGGGTTTGGGGTGGGATTGAGGTGGGATTTGGGGGAATTTGGGGTGATTTTAGGGAAATTTAGGGTGGGTTTGGGGGATGGTTTTTGGGTAGGTTTCAGGGGTTGATTTGGACTCGTTTTTGGGGTGTTTTGGGGCTAATTTTGGCGTGTTTTGGAGTTGGTTTTAGGGCTGGTTTTGGGGCTGGTTTTAGGGGGTGGCCTTGGGCTGTTTTTAGGGCTGGTTTTGGGGTGGATTTGGGCTGGTTTTAGGTCTGGTTTTGGGGTGGATTTGGTGTGGATTTGGGGTATTTTGGGGCTGGTTATAGGGGATGGCTTTGGGCTGTTTTTAGGGCTGGTTTTGGGGTGAATTTGGGGTGGATTTGGGATATTTTGGGGCTGGTTTTAGGAGACGGTTTTTGGCTATGTTTGGGGTTGGTTTTAGGGTGTTTTGGGTCTGGTTTTAGGGCTGGGTTTGGGGCTGGTTTTAAGGGATGGCTTTGGGTTGGTTTTAGGGCTGGGTTTGGGGCTGTTTTTGGGCGATGGCTTTGGGGCTGGTTTTGGGGTGGGTTTGGGGTATTTTGGGGCTGGATTTAGGGCTGGGTTTGGGGCTGGTTAGAGGGTGATTTGGGGCTGGTTTTGGGGCTGGTTTTGGGGTGGATTTGGGGAATTTTGGGCTGAGCCACGTCCCCAGAGATGTACCAGATCGGGCAGCAGACACGGGCCCACGAGGGCAGCGTGTTCGCGCTCTGCCGCCGCCGCGACGGGACCGTGCTCAGCGGGGGCGGGAAGGACCGCAGGGTGCTCAGCTGGAGCCCCACGCTGGAGCTGCTGCACGAGGTTGAGGTGGGCAAAGCCCTAGAACCCCAAAAACCTCACTTGCTGCCCTAAAAAGCCTCCCTTAGTGCTTAAAAAATTTCTTAGTGCTGCAAAAATCTCCTTTAGTGCCTCAAAAATCTCCCTTGGTGCCCTAAAAATCTCCCTTACTGCCTCTAAAAACATCCCTGGAAACCCCAAAAAGCTCCTTTAGTGCCCCAAAAATCTCCCTTAGTGCCCCAAAAATCTCCCTTAGTGCCTCAAAAACCAGCCCTTGGAACCCTAAAAATCTCCCTTAGTGCCCTAAAAATCCTCCTGGATTGCCAAAAATCTTCCATAGTGCCCCCAAAACTGCCTGGGTACCCCAAAATCCTCCCTGGATCCCAAATCCCAAAGGGCTGCGGGATGGGGGGAGTTTGGGGGGAGGATTTGGGGGTTTTTGGGGTCCCCCCATTCCCTGAGCCCTTCAGATGGTTCTGATGGGTATTTGGGGTTTTTTGGGGGGTTCCCCATCTACTCAAGTGCTGTCAGGGGTATTTGGGGTTGTTTTGGGGTGACCCCCAGTTCCCCGAGAGCTTTGGGTGTTTTTAATGGTGTGTTTGGGGTTGTTTTTGGGGTCCCCAGCTCCCCGAGAGCTTTGGGTGTTTTTAATGGTGTGTTTGGGGTTGTTTTTGGGGTCCCCAGCTCCCCGAGAGCTTCGGCGCCGTCCGCACGATCGCGGAGGGTCCCGGGGAGGAGCTGCTGGTCGGGACCACGCGGAATGCGCTGCTCCGGGGCACGCTGGGCTCCGGCTTCACCCCCATCGTCCAGGTGGGCTTTTTTTGGGGGGTGGGGGGGGTCCCGCGGGGGTATCCAGGGTGGGCACGGGGCGCTGACCCCTGCCCGGACCTCCCCAGGGTCACACGGACGAGGTTTGGGGTCTGGCCACGCACCCCAACTGCTGCCGCTTCCTCACCTGCGGCCACGACCGCCAGCTCTGCCTGTGGGACGGCCGCGAGCACGCGCTGGCCTGGAGCCTGGCGCTGGAGGTGGGGGGACCCCGAAATTGGGGAGGGGGACATCCCCGGGGGGTCTGGAGTGAGGTTTGGGGGGCTTTAGGGGGGGTTTAGGGTCTGTAATATGGGTACAGGGTTCTGGGGACAAGGGACAGGAACATGCCCTGACTGCAGCCTGGCGCTGGAGGTGGGGGGACCCCGAAATTGGGGAGGGGGACATCCCCGGGGGGTCTGGAGTGAGGTTTGGGGGGCTTTAGGGTCTGTAATATGGGTACAGGGTTCTGGGGACAAGGGACAGGAACTGGAGCCTGGCGCTGGAGGTGGGGGGACCCCAAAATTGGGGAGGGGGACATCCCCGGGGAGTCTGGAGTGAGGTTTGGGGGGCTTTAGGGGGGGTTTAGGGTCTGTAATGGGGGTGCAGAGTTCTGGGGACAAGGGACAAGAACATGCCCTGACTGGAGCCTGGCGCTGGAGGTGGGGGGACCCCGAAATTGGGGAGGGGGACATCCCCGGAGGGTCTGGAGTGAGATTTAGGGAGGGTTTAGGGGGGGTTTAGGGTCTGTAATATGGGTACAGAATTCTGGGGACAAGGGACAGGAACTGGAGCCTGGCGCTGGAGGTGGGGGCACCCCAAAATTGGGGAGGGGGACATCCCCGGGGGGTCTGGAGTGAGGTTTGGGGGGGTTTAGGGGGGGTTAGGGTCTGTAATATGGGTACAGAATTCTGGGGACAAGGGACAGGAACATGCCCTGACTGCAGCCTGGCGCTGGAGGTGGAGGGACCCCAAAATTGGGGAGGGGGACATCCCCGGGGGGTCTGGAGTGAGATTTAGGGGGGGTTTAGGGGGGGTTTAGGGTCTGTAATATGGGTACAGGGTTCTGGGGACAAGGGACAGGAACATGCCCTGACTGGAGCCTGGCGCTGGAGGTGGGGGGACCCCAAAATTGGGGAGGGGGACATCCCCGGGGGGTCTGGAGTGGGGTTTGGGGGGGTTTAGGGTCTGTAATATGGGTACAGAGTTCTGGGGACAAGGGACAGGAACATGCCCTGACTGCAGCCTGGCGCTGGAGGTGGGGGGACCCCAAAATTGGGGAGGGGGACACCCCGGAGGGGTCAGGATTGAGGTTTGGGGGGGTTTAGAGGGGGTTTGGGGTCTGTAATGGGGGTGCAGAAGGGCTGGGGAGGGACCAGGAGCACGCACTGGCTGGAGCCTGGGGCTGGGGGTGGGTGAAGACCCCTGAAAGTGGGGAGGGGGCGTCTGGGGAAGGGTCAGGAGCGAGATTTGGGGGGTCAGGGGATGCTCTGGGGACAAGGGACGAGGAGCACACCTGGGCTGGGGACCCCCAAATTGGGGCTGGGGGTGGTTTGGGGTGTGGGGGGTGGCGGCAGCCCCGGTTTGGGGCTCTGGGGGGGGTCCCAGGGACCCCCCGTGACCCCTCCCCACCCCCAGGACACCGGGCTCTGCGCCGACTTCCACCCCGGGGGACACGTGGTGGCCGTGGGGCTGCTGAGCGGGCGGTGAGCCACCGGGACACCGGGGGGACACGGGGGGACACGGGGGGACACAGGGACATGAGGGGACACGGGGGGACATGGGGTCATGGGGGGACACGGGGGGACATGGGGGCATGGGGGGACATGAGTGGACATGGAGGGACACAAGGACGTGGGGGGACAGGGGGACATGGGGGGAGACGGGGACACAGGGGAACAGTGCCCATGGTCCCCCTGTCCCCTCCATGTCTCCGTATCCCCCCATGTCCCCGTGTCCCTCCATGTCCCTCCATGTCCCCGTATCCCCCCATGTCCCCCCATGTCCCCGTATCCCCCCATGTCCCCGTGTCCCCCCATGTCCCCGTGTCCCCCTGTGTCCCTGTGTCCCTCCATGTCCCTGTGTCCCTCCATGTCCCTGTGCCCCCCATGTCCCCGTGTCCCTCCATGTCCCTGTGCCCCCATGTCCCCATGTCCCCCCATGTCCCTGTGTCCCCCCATGTCCCCCCATGTCCCCTCCATGTCCCCATGTCCCCCCATGTCCCCGTGTCCCCCCATGTCCCCCCATGTCCCTGTGCCCCCCATGTCCCCGTGTCCCCCCATGTCCCCATGTCCCCCCCATGTCCCTGTGTCCCTCCATGTCCCCGTGTCCCTGTGTCCCCATGTCCCCCCATGTCCCCGTGTCCCCCCATGTCCCCGTGTCCCTCCATGTCCCTGTGCCCCCCATGTCCCTGTGTCCCCCCATTTTCCCCCATGTCCCCGTGTCCCCCCATGTCCCCGTGTCCCCCCATGTCCCCGTGTCCCCCTGTGTCCCCTGTCCCGTGTCCCCATCCCGCAGGTGGCTGGTGCTGGACACGGGCACGCGGCAGCTCCTGGCCGGGGGCTCGGACGGGAACGAGCAGCTCTCGGTGGTTCGCTTCTCACCGGGTGAGCCCCATGTCCCCTGCCAGCCCAAACTGTCCCCAAATTGTCCCCAAACTGTCCCTGGCCTGTTCCTGATCCCAAACTGTCCCAAACTGTCCCTGGCCTGTCCCTGATCCCAAACTGTCCCCAAACTGTCCCTGGTCTGTTCCTGATCCCAAACTGTCCCAAACTGTCCCTGGCCTGTCCCTGATCCCAAACTGTCCCCAAACTGTCCCTGGCCCCTCCCTGTCCCCAAACTGTCCCAAAAATGTCCCCAGACTGTCCCCAAACTGTCCCTGATCCCTCCCTGTACCCAAACTATCCCCAAACCCCCGCAGTGTGTGGAAGCCCCCCAAACCCCTTTTCTCCCCCCAAACCTCGTGTCCCCCCCAGTCCCCCCCAGTGTGTGAGACCCACCCCAAACCCTCCCAGGTCATGGGGCCCCCCCAAACCTGTGTCCCCCCAAACCCACATCCCCCCCAAACCCCCCCCAAACCCGTGTCCCCCCCAAACCCGCGTCCCCCCGTTGCAGATGGGACCTTCCTGGCCATCGGCTCCCACGACAATTTCATCTACATCTACAGCGTGGCCGAGGGCGGCCGCAAGTTCAGCCGCTTCGGCCGCTGCACCGTGAGCTGAGGGGGCTGGGGGGGCTGGGGGGGTGTCCCGGGGGTCCCCAAAACCCCCGGACCCCCAGCGACCCCCCCCCACCCTCCGCTGCCCCCAGGGTCACTCGAGTTTCATCACCCACCTGGACTGGTCCAAGGACGGGCGGTTCATCATGTCCAACTCGGGGGATTATGAGATCCTCTACTGTGAGTCTGGGGGCTTGGGGGGCTCCCTCTGGGGCTGATGGGACCCCCCGGACCCTGCCGGGACCCTCCTGACCCTGACAGGACCCCCCTGACCCTGCTGGGAGCCCTCTGACCCTGCCAGGACCCTCCTGACCCTGCTGGGACCCTCCTGACCCTGCTGGGACCCTCCTGACCCTGACAGGACCCTCCTGACCCTGCCGGGACCCTCCTGACCCTGACAGGACCCTCCTGACCCTGCTGGGAACCCCCTGACCCTGCTGGGACCCCCCTGACCCTGACGGGACCCTCCTGACCCTGCTGGGACCTTCCTGACCCTGCTGGGACCCCCCTGACCCTGCCGGGACCCTCCTGACCCTGCCGGGACCCTCCTGACCCTGCTGGGACCCTCCTGAACCTGCCGGGACCCTCCTGACCCTGCTGGGACCCCCCTGACCCTGACAGGACCCCCCTGACCCTGACAGGACCCTCCTGACCCTGCTGGGACCCCCCTGACCCTGACAGGACCCTCCTGACCCTGCTGGGAACCCCCTGACCCTGCCGGGACCCTCCTGACCCTGACAGGACCCTCCTGACCCTGCTGGGACCCCCCTGACCCTGCCGGGACCCCCCTGACCCTGCTGGGAACCTCCTGACCCTGACAGGACCCTCCTGACCCTGCTGGGACCCCCCTGACCCTGCCGGGACCCTCCTGACCCTGCTGGGACCCCCCTGACCCTGCTGGGACGCCCCTGACCCTGACAGGACCCTCCTGACCCTGCTGGGACCTTCCTGATCCTGCTGGGACCCCCCTGACCCTGACAGGACCCCCCTGACCCTGCTGGGACCCCCCTGACCCTGCCGGGACCCTCCTGACCCTGCTGAGTCCCCCCTGACCCTGCTGGGACCCTCCTGACCCTGCTGGGACCCTCCTGACCCTGCTGGGAACCCCCTGACCCTGACAGGACCCTCCTGACCCTGCTGGGACCCCCCTGACCCTGCCGGGACCCTCCTGACCCTGCTGGGACCCTCCTGACCCTGACAGGACCCTCCTGACCCTGCTGGGACCCTCCTGACCCTGCTGGGACCCCCCTGACCCTGCTGGGACCCCCCTGACCCTGCCGGGACCCTCCTGACCCTGACAGGACCCTCCTGACCCTGCTGGGACCCTCCTGACCCTGCTGGGACCCTCCTGACCCTGCCGGGACCCTCCTGACCCTGACAGGACCCCCCTGACCCTGACAGGACCCTCCTGACCCTGCCGGGACCCTCCTGACCCTGCTGGGACCCTCCTGACCCTGACAGGACCCCCCTGACCCTGACAGGACCCTCCTGACCCTGCTGGGACCTTCCTGACCCTGCTGGGACCCCCCTGACCCTGCCGGGACCCTCCTGACCCTGCCGGGACCCTCCTGACCCTGACAGGACCCCCCTGACCCTGACAGGACCCTCCTGACCCTGCTGGGACCTTCCTGACCCTGCTGGGACCCCCCTGACCCTGACAGGACCCCCCTGACCCTGACAGGACCCTCCTGACCCTGCTGGGACCTTCCTGACCCTGCCGGGACCCTCCTGACCCTGCTGGGACCCCCCTGACCCTGCTGGGACCTTCCTGACCCTGCTGGGACCCCCCTGACCCTGACAGGACCCTCCTGACCCTGCTGGGACCCCCCTGACCCTGACAGGACCCTCCTGACCCTGCTGGGACCCCCCTGACCCTGACAGGACCCTCCTGACCCTGCTGGGACCCCCCTGACCCTGCTGGGACGCCCCTGACCCTGACAGGACCTTCCTGACCCTGACAGGACCCTCCTGACCCTGCTGGGACTTTCCTGACCCTGCTAGGACCTTCCTGACCCTGACAGGACCCTCCTGACCCTGCTGGGACCCCCCTGACCCTGACAGGACCCTCCTGACCCTGCCGGGACCCTCCTGACCCTGCTGGGACCCTCCTGACCCTGCTGGGACCCCCCTGACCCTGCCGGGACCCCCCTGACCCTGACAGGACCCTCCTGACCCTGCTGGGACCTTCCTGACCCTGCTGGGACCTTCCTGACCCTGCTGGGACCCCCCTGACCCTGACAGGACCCTCCTGACCCTGCTGGGACCCCCCTGACCCTGCTGGGACCCTCCTGACCCTGACAGGACCCTCCTGACCCTGCTGGGACCCCCCTGACCCTGCTGGGACCCTCCTGACCCTGACAGGACCTTCCTGACCCTGCTGGGACCCTCCTGACCCTGCCGGGACCCTCCTGACCCTGCTGGGACCTTCCTGACCCTGCTGGGACCCTCCTGACCCTGACAGGACCCTCCTGACCCTGCTGGGACCCTCCTGACCCTGCTGGGACCCTCCTGACCCTGACAGGACCCTCCTGACCCTGCCGGGACCCTCCTGACCCTGCTGGGACCCCCCTGACCCTGACAGGACCCTCCTGACCCTGCTGGGACACCCCTGACCCTGACAGGACCCTCCTGACCCTGACAGGACCCTCCTGCCCCTGACAGGACCCTCCTGACCCTGCTGGGACCCCCCTGACCCTGCTGGGACCTTCCTGACCCTGCTGGGACCCCCCTGACCCTGACAGGACCCTCCTGACCCTGCTGGGACACCCCTGACCCTGACAGGACCCTCCTGACCCTGCTGGGACCCTCCTGACCCTGCTGGGACCCTCCTGACCCTGATGAGACCCCCCTGACCCTGCTGGGACCCCCCTGACCCTGCTGGGACCCTCCTGACCCTGCTGGGACCCTCCTGACCCTGCCGGGACCCTCCTGACCCTGCTGGGACCCCCCTGACCCTGACAGGACCCTCCTGACCCTGCTGGGACCCCCCTGACCCTGACAGGACCCTCCTGACCCTGCTGGGACCTTCCTGACCCTGCTGGGACCCTCCTGACCCTGCTGGGACCCCCCTGACCCTGCTGGGACCCCCCTGACCCTGCCGGGACCCCCCTGACCCTGCTGGGACCCCCTTGACCCTGCTGGGACCCCCCTGACCCTGCCGGGACCCCCCTGACCCTGACAGGACCTTCCTGACCCCACAGGGACCCCCCACACTTTGCGGTCTCACTGTTCCCCTCCCCTGATTCTTTTTGGGGGGGTTTCCCTCCCCAGATTTTGGGGGGTCTCTTTTCCCTTCCCCTCCCCAGATTTTTGGTGTCTCATTTTCCCTCCCCCTCCCCACCTTTTGGGGGGCTTTCCCTTTTCCCTCCCTCCTCCTCCTCCCAAATTTTGGGTGCTTTTCACTGCCCCCCACCCCAAATTTCGGGGTGAGCTCTCCCAGCCCCCCCAGCCCAGATTTTGGGGGTCTCTCCCCCCTCCAGGGGACGTGGCCGGGGGCTGCAAATTGCTGCGGAACCGCTTCGAGAGTCGGGACCGGGAATGGGCCTCCTACACCTGCGTGCTGGGCTTCCACGTCTTCGGTGGGTCTGGGGGCTCGGGGGGTCCCAGGGGGGGTTTGGGGGGGTTCCCCATCTCCCCAAATGGTTCAGGGGGTGCTGTCAGGGGTATTTGGGTTTGTTTTGGGGTCCCCCAGCTCCCTGAACCCTCGGGGTGCTTCTGACAGAGTATTTGGGGTTGTTTTGGGGTCCTCAGTTCTCCAAGAGCTTTGGGTGCTTCTAATGGGATATTTGGGGTTTTTTTTGGATCTCCAAATTCCCTGAACCCTTCAGGAGGTCCTGACAGAGTATTTGGGGTTGTTTTGGGGTGATCCCCAGTTCCCCGAGAGCTTTGGGTGTTTCTGACACGGTATTTGGGGGTTTTTTGGGGTCCCCAGCTCCCCGAGCCCTCGGGGTGTTTCTAGCTGGGTATTTGTGGATGTTTTTGGGGTCCCCCAGTTCCCCAAGAGCTTTGAGTGTTTCTGACAGGGTATTTGGGGTTTTTTTGGGGTCCCCAGCTCCCCGAGCCCTCGGGGTGTTTCTAGCGGGGTATTTGTGGATGTTTTTGGGGTCCCCCAGTTCCCCAAAAGCATTGGGTGTTTTTGACAGGGTATTTGGGGTTTTTTTGGGGTCCCCAGTTCCCCGAGAGCTTTGGGTGTTTCTGACAGGGTATTTGGGGGTTTTTTGGGGTCCCCAGCTCCCCGAGCCCTCGGGGTGTTTCTAGCGGGGTATTTGTGTATGTTTTTGGGGTCCCTCAGATCCCTGAGATCTTTGGGTGTTTCTGACAGGGTATTTGGGGTTTTTTTGGGGTCCCCAGCTCCCCGAGCCCTCGGGGTGTTTCTAGCAGGGTATTTGTGTATGTTTTTGGGATCCCTCAGTTCCCCGAGAGCTTTGGGAGTTTCTAACAGGGTATTTGGGGTTTTTTGGGGTCCCCCTGACCCCCCGACATCGGCGCAGGGGTGTGGCCGGACGGCTCGGACGGCACCGACATCAACTCGCTGTGCCGCTCGCACCACGAGCGCGTGGTGGCCGTGGCCGACGACTTCTGCAAGGTTCACCTGTTCCAGTACCCCTGTGCCCGGCCCAAGGTGGGCACCGGGCATGGGGGGCTCTGGGTGGTCTGGGGAAGGGTCCCAGCCCCCCAGTTTGGGGAGTCAGGGGGGCTACGGGGGGGTCCAGATCCCAGATTTTTGGGCTTGGGAGGGTCCCAGACCCCAATTTGAGAGGCCGGGGGGGGTCCAGACCACAAACTTTTGGGCTCAGGAGGGTCCCATACCCCAAATTTGAGGGCTCCAAACCCACTGAGTGTTTTGGGGAGTCCCACACCCCAATTTAGGGGTATGGGGGGGGGGGTCAGACCCCAATTTCGGGGGGTCCTCCCCAGTTTGATTGGGGGGGGGGGGTGTTGGGGGGGTGACCACGTGACCCCGCAGTCACGTGTCGCCCCTCCCTCACAGGCTCCCAGTCACGTGTACGGCGGGCACGGCAGCCACGTGACCAACGTGCGCTTCACGCACGACGATGGACACTTGGTGTCGCTGGGCGGGAAGGACACCAGCGTCTTCCAGTGGCGGGTGCTGCCCGGGGACAGCGCCTGAGCCCCGCGCCTTCCTCCTCCTCCTCCTCGCTGCTTCATCTTCCCCCTTTTCCCCCCTTCTTGGGACCAAAGAGCGGCTCGGGGTTTGGTGAAAAGCCTTCCCCCCCGCCGCGTTTTCGCGCTGCACTGTGAGAGGCGTCAATAAAAGCCTTGGGGTCAGGGTAGGGCCCTGCCGTTTCCTCCGGGATCGCCGCCGCTTCCCGGAAGTCCCGCGGGTTCTTCCTCCTTGCCCGCCCTCGGCGCTTTTCCGGTTCTGGCGGAACTCGCCGAGCCCGTTACGGAAACAGCCGAGGTTGAGCCGAGCAGTGCCGGAGAGGGCCGAGGCCGAGCCGAGGCTTCCCCGAAAAGTGCCGAGGTCTCTCCGGAAGTGCCCGAGGCGGCGCCGAACCCGTGCCGGAGGTGCCCGAACGAATCCGGCAATACCCGAGTCTCTCCGGAGGTGCCCAAACCCTCTCCGGAGGTGCCCGAGAGGTCTTGCCGGAGGTTGCCGAACGTCTCCGGGGGTTCCCGAAGCCTCTCCGGAGGTGCCCGAAGGGCTCCGAACCGGCCGTGCCGGCGCGGAGGCGGCGGGAGCGGCGATGAAGCGCGGCCGGGGCCGGGCCCGGGGGTAGCGCGGCCGAGCGAGCGGCCATGGCGGCCAACATGTACCGCGTCGGCGGTGAGTGGGCCGGGGGCCGCGGGCCGCCGGGAGGGACCTCCAGGAGGGGCCCTGGGGGGGCCCTGAGGGGATTTGGGGGGTCCCGGAAAGCGGAGGGGGGGGGTGGGTCTGTGAGGGGGTTTGGGGGTTCCGTGAGGGGATTTGGGGGTGGGGTCCGTGAGGGGTTAAGGGGGGTCCGTGAGGGGTCCCGGTAAGGGGGAGGCGTGAGGGGAGTGGGGGATCCCACAGCGGAAAGGGGGGGGGGGGTCTGTGAGGGGATTTGGGGGTTCCGTGAGGCGCGGGAAGGGTCGTGAGGGGATTTGGGGGGGGTCCGTGAGGGGTCCTGGAAAGGGGCAAGCGTGAGGGGAGTGGTGGGGGGTCTGTGAGGGGAATTGGGGGTCCCGGAAACAGCGGGGGTGTCTTGTGAGGCAATAAGCGGTTGGGGGGGGGGGGGTCCCGTGCGGGAATTTGGAGGGAGAGGATTTTGGTGTGGGGGGTTTGGGGTCCTGAAAAGGAAAGGGTCCCGTGAGGGGGTTAAGGGAGTCCCTGAGGGGATTTGGGGTGTCTGTGAGGGAACTTGGGGGTCTGTGAGGAAAAGGAGGTGCCAGAAATGGGGAGGGTCCCTTAAGGGGGGTCCTCCTTTGGGACCCCAAATCCTGAGGCGTGGAGGTGGGAGACCCCCCCTCCCCCGGCCAAAAAAAAATCTACAGGAAAAAAGGGGGGTGGTCTTCGATGAGAGGGGGACCCCAAATTTTTTTGGGGGGTGTCCTGCTCCCTCATTTGTGAGGGAGGGTCTGTGCCAGGAGGAGACCCCTGGTCTGTAGTGGGGGGCTGGGGGGGAAAATGAGGGCGGGTCCTGTGGGGTAACAAACCCCGTTCCCATGAGGGGAACATCTGGCTGCAAAAACCCCCTGGATTTTGGGGATTTGGGTGGAACTAAGAACAATCCTGACGAGTTTGAGAAAAAGGATTTTCGGGGGGTGGGTTTGCCATTGTGACCCCCCAGTTTTTGTCCCCCATTTTTCCCCAGATTACGTCTACTTTGAGAACTCCTCCAGCAACCCCTACCTGGTGCGGCGCATCGAGGAGCTCAACAAGGTGAGACCCCACCCCCCCAGTTCCTCAGGGGGATCCCCAAGCCCGGGGAGGGGGTCCCCAAGCCCAGGGGACACCCCTGACCCCCTGTGCTCCCCCCAGACGGCCAATGGCAACGTGGAGGCCAAGGTGGTTTGTCTGTTCCGGCGGCGTGATATCTCCAGCAGCCTCAACAGCCTGGCTGACAGCAATGCCCGTGAGTGGGGGGCTTTTGGGGGGGCTTTTGGGGGGGTTTTGTGGGGGTTTTGGGGATTTGGGGGGCAGCCTTAAAAGACAGGCCAAGGGTAATGTCGGTGGGTGGGGGATTTGGGGGGTTTTTAGGGGTTTTAGAGAGGGGTCTGTGGCTCATATCACAACGGGGTGCTCCCAGAATTTGGGGAGAACTGGTTTGACATTATTGGGGTGATTTAGGGGTGCTGGAGGGGGGTCTGTGACCTCTCCCAAAGGGGTGCCCCCAGTTTGAGGGGGGGTTGGAGCTGCTCTGTTTCTCTCCACCTCTCTTGGGCTGAATTTTGGGGCAGGGGGGTTTCCAATTTTGGGGGGGGTGGTCACAAGTAAAGGACCGAACCCCTTTGACTGAACCATCAAACTGGGGGGTCCTGCCCTTCCTGGGGGGGTCTCTCCCCTCCCACGTCCCCTCCCTCCCCTCCCCCTCCTCGGGGCTGTTGCCAAAAGCCCGGAGGGGGTTTTTGGGAGAACAATGGGCCCTCCCAGCTGGATTTTGGGGCGGGGGGACACCCCGGTGTGACCCCCCCGCGGCCCCCCCAGGCGAGTTTGAGGAGGAGTCGAAGCAGCCGCCGATGACGGAGCAGCAGCGGCACCAACTCAAGCACCGGGAGCTGTTCCTGTCCCGCCAGTTCGAGTCCCTCCCGGCCACCCACATCCGGTACCGGGGGCAGAAACGGCTCTGGGGGGGTGGGAAAAGCCTCTGGGGGGGCTTCCCCTGCATGGGGAGGGGTTTTGGGGTGACCCTCTCCCCAAATTTGCCTTACAGGGGGAAGTGCAGTGTGACACTGCTGAATGAGACTGACATCCTGGGGCAGTACCTGGAGAAGGAGGTGAGCTCTGTGTGCCCCAAAATGGGTCTGGGGGGGGATGTTGGGGGTCTCCCCACCCTGCTGAGCCCCTCCCCACGCCACTGGGCCCCCCCAATGTGCTCCCTCCCCACAGGATTGCTTCTTCTACTCGCTGGTGTTCGACCCCGTGCAGAAAACACTGCTGGCAGACCAGGGCGAGATCAGGGTGGGCTGCAAGTACCAGGCTGAGATCCCTGAGCGCCTGGCCGAAGGTTTGGGGGGTTCAGGGGGGCTCCGGGGGGTGCAGGATTGGGGGGGGGGGGTCACCCTGACAGCCCCCCCAAACCCTCCCCAAGGTGAGTCAGACAACCGGAACCAGCAGAAGATGGAGATGAAGGTGTGGGACCCCGACAACCCCCTGACAGACCGGCAGATCGACCAGTTCCTGGTGGTGGCTCGGTGAGGGGGGAACTGGGGGTGCTGGTGGGGGGTCAGGGGAATTGGGGGGACCCTGCTGACCCCCCCGTGTCCCCCCCAGGGCCGTGGGGACGTTTGCCCGGGCGCTGGACTGCAGCAGCTCCATCCGCCAGCCCAGCCTGCACATGAGCGCGGCCGCAGCCTCCCGGGACATCACCCTGGTGAGGGGGGACCCCAGCCCCCCCAGGCACCCCAAAACCTCCCTCAGAACCCTCAGTTCCCACTGGGAGACCCCCAAATCTCTCTAGAACCTCCCCATTTCTCATTGGGAGACCCCAAAACTTCCTCCGAACTCCTCATGTCCTGTTGGGACATCCAAAGATTTTTTTACATCTCACATATCTCAATTGAAACACCCTAAAACCCCTTAGAACTCCTTATTTTCTATTGGGACAGTTTTTCAAACCATTTAGATTTAAATTGGAGCAGCCCAAACTATTCTTTAGAACTTCCTGTTTCCCTCTGGGACACCCCAAAACCTCCTTAGAACCTCCCCAAGATTTCCCGTACACCCCTTAGGTGACCCCAACGCTTTCCTGGGATACCCCAAATCTCCTTCAGACCCTCCGGAGCCCCCTGAACTCCCACTTAGAGCCCTCCCAGTTCCCCCAGTGCCCCCAGTTCCACACCATGGACACGCTACAGAGGAGTGGCTACGACCTGGCGCAGGCCATGGCTAAACTGGTGCCGCAGAGTGACCCTGAAACCCCCCAAACCTTCCCCTAAACCCCCAAACCTCCCCCAAAACCCCCCTTAGAGCCCTCCCAGTACATCCCAGTGCCCCCAGTATGCCCCATTTCCCCCAGTTCCACGCCATGGACACGCTGCAGAGGAACGGCTACGACCTGGCGCGGGCCATGGCCACGCTGGTGCCGCAGGGGGGGCCGGTGCTGTGCCGGGACGAGATGGAGGAGTGGTCGGCCTCCGAGGCCATGCTCTTCGAGGAGGCCCTGGAGAAGTACGGCAAGGACTTCAACGACATCCGGCAGGATTTTGTGAGTGGGGGAGAGCAGCCCCTTTTTGGGGGTCCTGAGGGGGCTGAGGGATCCCCCCCGAGCTCAGGGTTTGGTTCCCACAGCTGCCCTGGAAGTCGCTGGCCAGCATTGTCCAGTTCTACTACATGTGGAAAACCACTGACCGCTACATCCAGCAGGTACGGGGCGTGGGGAGGGGCTGGGGGGCTGGGCTGGGGGCTTGGGGGGCTGAAATGGGGGTTTGGGGGGCTGGGCTGAGGGCTTGGGGGGCTGAAATGGGGGTTTGGGGGGCTGCGGTAATGATTTGAGGGGCTGGGCTGGGGGTTTGGGGAGCTGGGGTGGGAGCTTGGGGGGCTGGGCTGAGGGTTTGGGGGACTGAAATGGGCATATGGGGGGCTGAAATTGGGGTTTTAGGGGTCTGATATGGGGTTTTGAGGGTGATAATGGGGTTTGGGAGGCTGATTTTGGGGTTCTGGGGGGCTGTTCAGGTGCCTGTGGGGTTTTTGATGGGTTCTGAGGGTTTTGTGGAGCTGATTTGGGGGTTCCATGTGGCTGTGGGGTTCAGGGGGGGCTCTGGGGGTTTTGTGGAGCTGATTTGGGGGTTCCATGTGGCTGTGGGGTTCAGGGGGGGCTCTGGGGGGTTTTGGGGGGGCTCAGAGCCCCCTGTGACCCCCTCCCTGCTCGCAGAAGAGGCTGAAGGCAGCGGAGGCCGACAGCAAACTGAAGCAAGTCTACATCCCCACCTAGTGAGTGGGGGGCTTTGGGGACCCCCTGCCGGGCCTGGGGGGGCACAGGAGACCCTTCCTGGGTCCATGTGGAGCCCCCCAAAATCCTCTGACCCCCTCCCCCTACTTTTCCCACAGCACCAAACCCAACCCCAACCAGATCATCTCGGTGGGCTCCAAACCTGGCGTCAACGGGGCCGGCTTCCAGAAAGGGCTGAGCTGCGAGAGCTGCCACAGT